AGTCAATTAAATTCTGTTCATAGTTTTAACCGATCGGACAATTATTCGGCTAAAAATATCTGTAACGATTGTCTGGTATCTTAATGACTAACGAAATATCACTGCAAATAAAGGTAATTATAAAGTCTGTATTTGCAATTACTTCCGATTCAAGACAGCAATGAACGGAGAACTTTTTTACATTTGTTGTGATAATTTTTTCATTAGTAATTCTTTTAAACCATATCACTAATTTATTCCATTTTTATTTATCTGAGAATATTTTACTGATTTTCAAAACTGCGACATATTTATATTTCTATATCTGCAGTGATGAGAATAATGTAAATCGCAAATCGGCAAGGGCGAATCGGCTTGCCGAGTTCAAATTCCGGGCTAGTCTGCTGAATTCACTTTCGCACAAATACACTCTGGAAAGACATGAATTCATTTCTTCTTCCTCAAGCTATGTCTAAATAACAGCGTATATTGGCTTCTCTAATTAGTCTAGGAGAACTGTTGCATTGATTTGTTTTTCTACGGCTTATCAACCTTTTGCCATGTATTTAAAGCCATAAAATATTTTTTAGGCAAATTTTTCAGATTATAATGGTTCAGTGATACACGTCTTATTAATTAATCCATAGCTGGGGGAATAGAGGATGATTCATACCTTTCCTAAGTGAATATAACGAATCCAACCGGAATTGGAACTCGGCTCTCCGATTAACAATTCTGACTCATTATGCATTAAATCACCTGCACATCCAAGCTTACAGCACACGATATTCCCAAATGGTCACCTACCAAGGCTAGACGTCGCTTAATTTCGATGATCGTACGAGGATCGGTGTTTCAACGTGATGTGACAGTAGGCGAGTCTAGAACAACACTGAATTCAAAACTAGCCTGAAGAGGCATAGATTCTTGCCATAGACACACCAAATGCTGCTATAAGTATCTGTAAGTCAACGGACTACAGAGACTAGATGTGATCTGTTACTCAGTTCTTAGTTGATGTCGAAGTCTCTGCCTTTGGGCAGAGAGGAACACGGACAACGCTATGCCGAAGGGCAGAGTCTCGCCCGGGGAGATAGACAGACCCGAACCCGTTTATGCAGGGTTCATGGGGAATTTTTGGCCAAGTCTACGTGCTCGGATTGCCCCACATTAAATTCGGCCTTATGCCACATCCTACCGCGTCGGGAGGTTGGTAAATATGACAAGCTGTGATCTGTTGAGTATAACTCAGACTTACGCGAGAACTACCGACCTTCCTATAGTAGCATTCACTACTGGATTGACCTTGTGCATAACTGTTAAATTTATTCTTATTGTGCTGGTTTTTTACAATAAACATTTACTTATTTTATCCACCTTGTTCTTCAAGTATATATACCTATTAGCATGGAATATAACAGTATATTTATTCTGTTCATTTTTTTTTTTATCCTCGGGTGGGTTTCTCTAGTATAACTTGTGAATGAATGCACGTCTTTGGTGCTACTGACAAAAGATAAACTGAAACTGTGAAGAATTGGTTTTTTTTATGTCCTTTTCTTTCTTACAATATCAAATCTTCTTTTTGCATGAAGTTGTATTGATTCTGGAAGATGGAGATCAACTTGTTTCAGATAGCTTAGTGGACGTAGGCTTGATTTCGGGCCAAGAAGCTTTCCAAGGTATTCTACACTTGGCTATTTATTGATTCGCGACAGTTTCCTCTTCAATGGAACGGAATAAATGAATAAAAGAATAAATGAATAAAAGAATAAATGAATAAAAGAATAAAAGAATAAATGAATAAAAGAATAAAAGAATAAAAGAATAAGTCACAAGAATCTCGTTTCTGAAACACGGATTAAAAAATGATTTTATTCTCCAAGCCCATCGTAGTATAACTATCGTTGACAGACTTGTAAAACATAAAATAACCGCGGGGCAAGATTCTTCAGAAGAGGAAAATCCACCAAAAAATGTTCTTGGGGAAAAAAAAAGTCCGATTTTTTTTTAACTCAGTGAAATACCTTCGGTCCAAAAGAAATAAAGATTTTGGTTTCGGAAGTAAATATTCAGAAAGACAGTAAGCGACAGGGATTCGTAGTCAGAATGCAAACATATATGAATTTGTCTTATAATGTCTTGTAATCTTATGTTGTCCCAAGAGGAAAAGATGCGTTTTTGACAATGAAAAAAGACTTGGTGACATCACTGCAACCTCACGCACTCACAAACATACACACACATACAGACAGATGCATACGTATACACACGTACACATACACACACACGCTGGCTCATACACACGCACAGACACATATACACAGAGAGGCCCTCGAAAAAACCCAGGCAAGTAGACGAAATTTATACAGCTCAAAAAATAAAAATTATATACCTATGTAAACACGTGTATCCACTAAATATAACGTATATAGTAATAACACACACACACATATATATATATATATATATATATATATTAATTCCTTATAATAAGACAGTATATATGTATGGAGAAGGAATATGCGTATACATACTAGCAAAAACACACACGCACACACAATACACGAAAATGAACATAGGTCTAAGATACAGGGGTCAGCAAAAGATAAGAACAATGACCCCCTTCCTTTTCCCTGACCAATCCTAATTCTTTTATTACCCTTCAAGCAGAAGAATACTTTCGCCACCAGTTCAAAAACAGACATTTAGGTTACTACTGCATTCAAAAGACAATGTTTAAACGTCGAAAACATAAGGAAAAGTTGATCCTCACTTCTGGATGCTCGGTATATTCGGCCTTGTGCCACAACTAAGCTATGCTTAATAAATCACTATGTATATGCGTGTAGGTGTTATTACTATATAAGTTATGTTTATGTTATATTTATATATGTTATTACTATCTATCTATCCACACACACACACACACACACACACACATATATATATATATATATATATATATATATATATATATATATATATATATATATATATAAAATAAAAATCTTAAGATGTGCTATATTTATGGGATAAAGTGCTCAATATCAGAGAGCGTATGTAAATATAAAAAGTGAACATAGAAGTCATCATTTAGAGGTGACAGTCTGTTTCATGCTAGATGCAATCGTGGCCTGACGATTGCATCTAACATGAAACAGACTGTCTCCTCTAAGTGTTGACTTTATGTTCACTTTATATATATATATATATATATATATATATATATATATATATATATATATATATATATATATATATATATATATATATTCTATCTCAGAGCATTTAAAGGAAAACTCATGCATATACACACATTTTACACAAATATTAGTTTAAAATACATCTATATTACATAAAAGAAATAATAAGCAAAAACTAAAAATTCTAGAAACCGTTTATGTAAGAGAATTAAAGCCAAAATTACTTTATTTATTTAGATTTTTTGTTTATTTTGTTTAACATACGCTCTATCCCTGATATTAGGCACCCATAAGTATAGCATACCTTAAAACTATATTTTTTATTATATATTATATATATATATATATATATATATATATATATATATATATATATAGAGAGAGAGAGAGAGAGAGAGAGAGAGATAGATAGATACACCTAGTGAGGCCAAACAAACCTACCTAGGTTTCACCTAAACGGATCGTCAGGGAAAGTTTGGCCAAACTTTCCTGACGATCCGTTTAGGTGAAACCTAGGTAGGTTTGTCTGGCTCACTAGGTGTATCTAGGTCTGCTCTACGGTTGTATTGAGCTCTTTTGTTAGTTAGTTGTTACTCGTATCAGGGTTTTTTCTTTTGGGCTTCAGACCTGCATCTGTGCGATTTTTTTGTCGGCAGAAGTCCATGTTTGTAGCTCTTTCTTTTTTTTTTAAACCCTTTTTCCCTCGAGATTGATTTGATTAGCAAATCAAAAATTCGAGGGTTTTTCAAAAACGAGTCTAGTTATCTATATTTATATGTATATATATATATATATATATATATATATATATATATATATATATATATATATATATATATATATATATATATATATATTGTATTGCAGCAGAACACTATATAAACATTACATTTTGAAAATTTTTACTAGAAGGCAAACAAGCAAATATATATATATATAAAATTATTCATTTCATAAAAGGAAAAAGAAAAAGCAAGTTAAAGTAAAGAAATGGAAAGAAAATTAGATTTTTAAATTAATGTTATGGACGTTTGAATTTATATTCTTTTCGTTCTTTTACATTTGGATATATATAGATGTGTGTGTGTGTCTGCAAATGTGTGCATAATAATTTAGATATAAATATCTATAAAAATACAATATGAATAAAGAGCAAAGGAAAACCTTTCTTTACCTATTCGTTTTATCCTTTGATGGACTTTATCAAGCTAAATGTGAGGATTTAATTTTGCAACAAGTATTTATAAACAGAATTTTAAAAAATATCATTAGGGTTCAATTTTTTTAATTTAAAAACGCTCATCCTATGAATAAATGTTGTTATTGTTGATATTTTTATTTGTTTATTTATTTATATATTTATTCCTTTATTCTTCTTTTTAATGTAATTATTATTTCATTTTAATTTCATAAATTCAATTATGTATTCATTTATTTTAAATAATAGTTTTTTTTTTAACAATTTTCTTTTAATTTTTTTATGGTCAGATATGCTGGCTTCAGAGAAGAATACATATTTTAGGAAAGGAGATATTTTTTTTTAAATCCAGTGTACAGATTTACCTTTTGGCAAGATACAATAGCAGCACTCTCAAGTACGTTTTATCAAAGTTATTTTCTCTTTTAATAAGTCTGGCATTCTTTAGACCAAAAGAATGCCACAAAGGGAATAAATGAATATATCAGAGGAGGAAACGCGTCGGTAAAGAAAAGTTTTCCTTTTGTTTTTATAAACACACATACACACACACACATACACACACATATATATTATTAATATTGTTATTATATTATATATTATAGATATTTTCCAGTATGATGAATAATTCTATTTTTTTTTTCTCTTTGCAGCCGAGTGAATGCGAAACAATAGAAGAAGATCAAGCTTCATCGGGAGGAGGGGGTGGTGGTGCGACCTACGTATTCCAGGTAAGTAAAGACCTTTCTGCCTCCCCGTGTGAACAAAAACATAAGCCATCGTTTGAAAAGCGGTGAACCACACATTTGTACGAGAGATGTACCCATGACTTTACCTCTTACAGTAAAACGTGCGGATGTTGTTTGTCAGACCGTTCTTTTATGCTAAATACTAAAACTTTCCGTCTAGAGCTGACCAGATGCGGCCATCTAAACTTGCTAAGTCCGAAAGAGTATCAACTACAGCTCCATCAAAGAAACAAAATTATATCAGGGGGTACTTGGTTTAAACATTGTATTGAAAGCTTAAGTTTAATCCATTATCTCAAGTACTAACTGGTATTGTTTGTTCGCCATGTCAAGAAAGTAGAGTACAAGGATCACCAAACCGCCGACCACATGCGGCATGCGGCTCTTCGACAGTGAAAGTGTGGCTCAAAGAAATAAGATGGCCGAGCTTAATTCCTTCTCACAACTAAAATATAAAGTCAAACAAATTTTAAACTATAATTGATTATCAAACGTGTATTAAATTACGATCCAAACGTACAGAATTATTATCCAGGTATAGAAAATTAACTAAATGCAAAGCATTATAATCCAAAAATTCAGGATTATGGTCAACGCGTATAGAATTATCTAAACCCTTAGAATTATGATCCAAGTATTATGCCCAGACGTACGGAATTATGATTTAAATTTACATAATTTTATTACCAAATTACAAGGTTGTTTAAACTGCTATCATCTAAACGTAAAGAAAATAATATTAATATAATTTTTTTTTTCATTTTATACTCACTTGAAACTATTTATTTTTTTATTCGTATATTATTTTACCAATAAATATATTTTAATCATGTTCCGTAATTTTCCCGTGTAAATTTTTGTCGTCATACAATACAACGTTTTCCCCCGACAAAGTGTTGGCTGTAAAGTTCTTAATAGTGAAAAAATGCCCGCTTCTTTGCTCTGTCATGGGTGATCAATGCTCTCATTTTTTTACTAATGTGCACTCTATACAAGGCCCAAGGGCCTCGCAAGATAGAGTATTACTGAAGGCGCTTGATGGGTGTTTCAAATCAGATTAATTATACATTAAATTAGCTAATATTTCTGAAATAAAGTTTCAGAAAAATATAGTTAATTTTTGGAAGAATTTTAATAAAGAGGATTACATTACATTAAAAGACGAATGAACAGAGGCGCTAATCAGCTATTTTAGCAAACAAAAAACAAGAACCTTACAGTTAATTTAAATTAGATCTTGGAATACAGCTAATTATTTTGCTTATCAAAAATATTAAATTTAATATGTTTGCTTGAAATTAAAACTAAAATAAAGGCTTCAAAAAGTCTTTTCATTTTTAAAAATTCATTTTAAACCTTAGGCATCGTTTTATTTTGGAGATGCCTACATTTATCGGAATAAAAAATATGTGTTTTTTTTAATGTTTTATCAATTCAGAAAACGGTCCTGTTCATAATATAAATACAGTGTCAAATTGATCCCTGACTTTTGTTTACAGAGATAGCTGTACCTTGTTTTTATTTAGAAATGTCAAGTTTGTAACGATTACTCTATTGATAACTGATCACTATTAAGAGCCTGGAATTTTAATTTCTATCTCCGGTCTAAATCTACTGTGCGCTCTATTCATCAAAACTCGGATCAGTTTTTTTTTTATATGGCTCATTAGGCTGATTGTTCGATAGAGTTCGCATTCCTTTGCCCATGGCTTCTTAGACAGGGATATAAAAATGGATCAACATCATTGTCGTAAATTTCATTTATTATGTCGCTAATTTTGTCAATGCCGAAATAATCTAAACCTGCCAGCATCTCTATTACAATTCCCTCTGGCCCTGCTGCTTTGTACTTGTTCAATTTTCCCAGTGCTGATTTCACTTCAGACTTTAATATTTCTGGTCCTTCGATATTTTTGTCTATTGAAGGTTGTCCTCTATCGTCGTGGAAATGTTATCCGATCTATTCGTTCCATCTCTGAAGTATTTTCTTTCTCAGTTATCAGTGTCCCGTCCTTGGATTTTATCCATCTTGTTGATAGGCATATCTTTTGTCCTGTTAGTTCTCTTATTCTTCTATACATATCCGCTTTATCTATTATATTCATTCTTTCTAATTTCTTTGTGCCATGTTCCATATTCTATGCCATATATTGGCATTGTTCACTGTCTCCTTTTCATCATGTCAAGAAATTCATTTGTCATCCATTTCTTTTCTTTTTTTTCTTTCAGATCATCTAATTTGCTGAGATTGCTAAAGTCTTTTTTAATGTGTCCGACCTGGGATTTCCGTTCTCCTTTAGTTCATTGAATTGAATGCTAATATACAAAAATTGTTTAAGAAATTATTTCCTATTTTTCTAAGAGCGAACCAATCAATTTTACACACCGCCATTTTTCTAAAAATTATTTCTTGTAGCTTTGAATGAAATATAAAGTTATAACGCCATCTGTTAATATTTGACTTTAATCATCTTAACAGGTCAACCAGACAACCAATCAAATGGTTCCTTTGTTAATTGCGGGTGGCGGCGGTGGCGTAGGAACGGGGACGTTCCGTAAAGATAAACCAATGCTTTGCACGGAATATAATTGTACCGGAATGAACCGGGAGAAACACGAACCAGGTCTGGCGGGTAAGTGATCTTGTTTCCTTCTCCATTTCAAGCCAATACACGTGTACACATACAGGAAACATGCGTGCATATAGACACATACAGTATAGTTGCAGTATAACCTACAGTTTTTTGTAATGTCAGCGAATACTCGTCGTCACTTTCGTAATGCTTGTTGTAGTAGAGACTTTGTAATCGCAGATACAACAATAGTAACGCCATTGAACAATACTGGTGTCAGACAGCTTCGAATAACACTAGCACTAATAGGACTTGCTCGATAATACTCGCTCTAATAGTAACGACTGAATAGTGATCCAAATAGTAATCCGTATAGTGATTTTCCAAGCATAACTTAGATGTGGCGCAAGACCGAAAGTAGAGGCACCCAGTGAGGATCGAACTCACTACTCAGTTGTAATTGTTCTAGCGAGAAAAGCTTGCCAACCATTTCACTGCCTCGACATGCCCAAATGATTTTCTAAGCGTAGCTTAGATGGGGAACACGGCCAAGTGTGTGGGACACCCAGTGAAGATCGAACTCACTATTCAGTCGTAACTGTTTTAGCGAGACAAGCTTGCTAACTATTACACCACGCCGAGGTGCCCACATAGTAATACGTGTAGTGATTACTTAGACATCACGCTAATCCCCATATGTACATTTCCTTTACATTCACATGATCTTCGTACTCAAAATGGGGTCGCCTGTGTTTGCTCTCTGGTGATTTTTGTTTAAACTCCAGGCTAAGAGGATCTCCTTAGTAGGCCTAGCGTAGAAATACTATTTGGGAACCGTTAATAAATAATCTTCAATACCAGCAGATTTAAGAAAAGAGATTATTCCGTGAGCCTATCCAATCATGACTAGCAACGCAGAATTATCCCACGTGACACTAGCCTAGTGAATTAAAACGTTGGTTTATCTATAATACCCATTCTTTCTCATTTCTTTGTGCAATGTCCCATATTCTCTGCTATATATTGACATTGTTTGCTATTCTCGCTTCATTAGGTCAAGATTTTTATCTGTCATACATATCTTTTTTACTTGTCTAGTTTTCTTTGAGTTTTCTGTAAATTTGGTGACATAGTGATTGTGAGTTCAATTTCTGCATAGGGAAGTTTGTATTTAGACTCAGTACAGCAATAAGTGAGCAGCAATAAACTAGAACTAAACCTAGTCAGAAGAGAAGTAAACAATCTATCCCCGTTCAATTCGAAATTTAGATTACCCGGATCGAAATAATCTGACGATTACCAGAATCGAAATACATCTGACGATTTGTTTGTTTGTTTATTTGTTTGTTTAGAACTTAACGACCCATCGATCAACAAGAGATCATTTAAGGTCAAACAGTTGTTTTTTTTTTTGTTTTTTTTTCTTTAAATAAGGTTGAAATGCTTTCAAAAAGACTTTCCCTTTCCTTTCCTTCTTTTTCCGGTGTTGTCTTTTTTTTTTTTTTTTAATTCACTGTTTTCAGAGGTGCGTTGTTCTTTGAAAATGTCTCACCTGGCAAGTATCAATGTTTCCCCTTTCATCATCAGACACCAAATTGGAATTATATTTTATTATATAGTCCAACTTTCCTAAGAAGGCTCAAGATCAAATTGGGGTTTGATTTTTCGAAAAGTTCTTTCAAGTTGTTCACGTTATAAAATAATTTTCGAATATGTGCCATGTCACCGCAATCAAGCAGGAAGCTTATACTACATCTGACGAAGGCCGAAACGATGTGATAACAATAGTCTGTATATAAATAATCTAAATAATGATAACTCTTCATCACAGAAATCCAAACAAAAGACACAAATGTGCCTGAGCAGGTCTACAACAGCTACTCTGCTGTGCCTCTTGTTTCAGATGTTACAACGGCGCACACAAGAAATAAGGTCCTAACGATATTGTTATTTTGAACCGTGTCCAAGTATATCTGATTTGATATATTACTGTGAATTCATAACAAGCAGAGTGGAGCAGGGCAAGTGTATTGCTTTGCTGTCCCCCTCCCCAAGGATGTCTTCTTGATTTATATGACTTGACTGGTGCCTTTTACTGGAAAAGAACATGCAGCAATTCATCTGTTGTAAATAAATTTATTTCGGAAAAAAATAACCTCAGTACTAAATTGTATTGCTTTCCACAGATAGATATCAACTTTTAGAAGGTAAAATATGATCCTAGCAACCAATATATTGTCAGGATAATTTGAAAAAATGAGATAAAATATATGTTTTAAAAAAGTTATACATTTCAATACATTCTGAAAATTTTAACCACTGTCAAAGCGAATAGATTTCCGACTTTTGACTCTGAGAGGCTGCGTATTTGATTGGCGCGTCTTGTTATAAGACAGTGTGTTTGATGGATTCCAACTAAATCTTAAATGGCATAATTTAAGAAAAAGAAAATATGTTTGAAAAAAGATCTCAACAAAGTATACTTGTAAAACGCTGGCTTTGAAAGACGTAGGAAAATAGTACTTTTGCTTCCTCAGCAGACACGGTCTTAAAAGTGTGTCGACTGTGCATAAGCAAGTCAACAATATATTAGTGGTTGAAATTAGCTAAAAAGAATGGCAGAAACAATTGATTCACATTGTTCACCGTAAAAAAAAATGTTGTGGGTTTGGAGATTTTTTTTTATATATCCGAACCTTATTTAGACGGTTGAAATAATTTCATCAGAAAAATCAATGATTTTGTCAGATTATAAATGTATCGAAAGTACTTTCGTTTTTTTTAACACACCTTTCCTTCAAGCCGTCTTTTCATCTGTGAGAAAGTCGTTCAGTTAATATCTTTACAGTATAGTAGAATTAATACTATATAGAATTTCAGCACTATTTCCATGTTCCTTTCCAGTTTCTTACCATTCTGTTTTGCTTATGGACGGCGTCTTTCCTTATTCCAATGCAGCTTCGGATTTCGGTGTCATATTTGGTGTCGTCTGTTAAAAATCATCCCAGTTATTTAAATTCACGAGGATGGGTTGAAAAGTTCATAGGCTGACTATGAAGGAGTGATGCTAGAGCTGTGAAACCTTGCAAGCATTAATTTCGATTCTTATTAAAAAAAAAAAACTGTAGTTTCTTTCCCGGTAAACTGACATCTGACTATTCAAAGAAGAATTTTAAAAGTAACTATTAGCGAATTCTCTTGAAGATGAACCAAATTTGGCATCGTTATCAAGTACCGACAGGAAAAGGGTTTAATGCTCAAGGACATTCATGCTGACATGATTGTTACATTAGGGGATGATGCTCCAGCTTTATCAAAAGTGGACAACTGAATTTAGGCGGGGAAGGAAGAGTCTGGACGTCCTACAACTGTCACCACCAAGGAGAACATTGACCGTATTCCCCACATGGTGATGGATGACAGGCTGTTGAATATAAATCAATTATCCAATGCTATTATCCCGTGAAACAGTTGAGAATATTCTGCACATGTACTTGGCATGTCCGAAGTTTCCATTTGATGTGTGCCGCGTCTTCTAACATCTGACCAAGAGCGCACCAGGTTGATCACATTACGGGGAGATTTGACATTGTTTGAAGCTAATCCTGCTGGTTTCCTTAGGCGTTTCCTAACCCAGTATAAGTGCTGCGTTCATCACTTTGAGCCAGGGACAAAGAGACAGTACCTGCAGTGGAAACATCCATCCTCACATGATTCAAAGGCCATGGCCGTTTCATCTGCAGGGAAGGCGATGGCCTCAGTGCTGTTGGACGCAAAAAGAATTGTGTTTATTGATTGTCTTCTAAAGGGCCACATCATCAGTGGAGAGTACTATGCCAACTTGCTGGGGCAGTTATGAAAATCAAGACCAAACGCCCAGGAAACTGACAAACGGGGTTTTGTTTTATCAGGATAATGCACCAGCACACATATCCTAGCCTTCAATGGATGTTATGCGTCAACTGGTCGATCACTATCCTTATTCTGCTGATTTGACCCCATCTGACTATCATCTGTTCCCCAACATGGAAAAGGCTGGAAACCAGTATAGCAGTGATGATGACGTCACATCTGCTGTGGATGACTTTTTTAACCAACAGAATGAAAACTTCTTCACTAATGGGATCCAAGCAGCGCAATGTATGTGAACTTCAAAGAGGCCTATATTGAAAAATAAACCTCATTTGGTTATATTCCATGAGAGTATCTTGGTCAGCCTATGAACTTTTCAGCTGATCGTCGTATTTACATATCTGTACTTGCTTGAGTTTGACATCAATAATTCGTAGATCGCATCTTAGTCTGTTCTTTTTACTGATAACCATACATTGTGTCTTCTTACAATTGACAGTTATTCCTTTCTTACCGCTTTTCTTTCATACCGTGTTTAGGATTTCCGGCAATTATTTCTTCTGTATATGCCATAAATACGGTATCACCTGCCTGTATTATGTTATTAAGATTTTATCCACCGATGATAAAACCTGGGAGGACTTGCATTCTCTGAGGTTGGCTCGCTGTATAACGATTAAATAAATCCGGTAAGAATACGGATTCTAGTTTTACGCCCCTTTATTGGTTTTAGAGTTATAACGCTGGTGAATTTTCAGTTGAGTGTCCCGAAATGAATAATTTAGTGTTGCAGCTCGGACCAGACTCCATGTTCGTTTTCAGGATGCAACTTCTTCCTGTCAAGCCCTTCTGCAAGGAAAATAATTCTTTAGTCGAATCGTTACCCAAGAAAGAAAAAACATAAGACAAAATTGTAGCAGCCGGAAAATTTTATTCCGTTGCAACCTTCTCATAAGGGCCGGAGGTTGACAAGCGATGAAAAGTGAGGTGTGGTGAGAGGGCGAGCGATCTAACCAGTACTGGCTCCCTTTCGCTTGGTGGGAGAGCGCTCCTCTCTGGTTTAAGCTGCTGGGGACCACTGTCTTACAGAGACCAGTTTTTTTTGTCCTGTCAGCTTTTGTCTAGAAAGGTCATTCATCAAGAACCTAGGATTCTAAGTCCGCTCTACTCAGCTGACCTCCTTTGTAATTGTCAGTTGATCTGGTTAT